AAAAAAAAAAAAAAAAAAATTAAGAAAAGTAGCAGACTCAGCAAATGTAGTATTGCTCATCATTAAGACTCTGACATTATTCCCATTCCAGTATGACTTTGTTTTCATTAGAGAGTTTGCATGTAATATAATACACTGTGTTAGCAACATACTCTATTCCTCCTGGGACATGGCAAAAAAATCTGGTCATGAAGCTCGTTAGTAAATTCTAGTGACTTTCAGTCATTTAACACTCAAAATTAAACACTGATATTTTCATCTTGTTTTTGCATTATGATTCAAAATAAGAAATACAATTATAAAAACTAAAAAAGATTAGTTTAATAATTTAAAACTCTCCTTATTCTTTTCTTTTTAAAATGACATCTTTTATTTTAATTGATATAACTGACCCTATTTATGGAATACAGTGTGTTGTTTCAGTAGGTGTCTAGAATGTTTTAGGGTCAGGTGAGATCGATCACCTCAAGTATTACCATTTTTTTCTGAAATCTCTCCTTTTCCTTTGCCTTCTTATTTTCTCCTCTCCTGTGGACAGGAAGTGATGCTTTCCCTTTCTCTTCCAGATGTGTCCTTGAGTAGATCACACCTGGCTCCTCCTAAAATGTGTTCTGTTATTTGTTCCCTCTTGCATCTCTGATCTCTCCCTTTTTGTTCCTCCTGTTGATAGACACAGGGATAGCCAGTGGTTAAGAGGGCAAATACTAGATAGAGTCAGAGTGGCTCACATCAGCCACTTACTAGTGGTCTGACCTTAAGCACAAGAGCAGAGCAGCTCCATCTACCTCTGTTAAACTCTGTCCATGGCAGTACTATCAGTGTCCTCAAAGACTAGGTGAATCAAAACATGTAAAAGTGCTTGAAGAACCAGCTAGTACATGTGAGCGACCATAAATGTTCATTGTCATCATAATTGCAAGTCATTATTCTCACTCTAAAAATACAAAGGAGCCCCATCGCCCGGCCTTGTTCAATTCCCCGCCATAGCATTGCAGAGGCAGCTGTGGGGCCTCTTCCATTTCTGCCCACTGCCTCCAACCTCTCTATTCAAGCTGTTCCTGGGAATTACCTCCCGCTTCCCCACCGAGTCTCTTGCCCGTCTCCCGTACCGGAGAGTGCTGCGGCACTTGACATCCCGTCTTCTGTATTTCGTCCATATCGGGTGGCAGGTGCTCTGGTTCTCTCGGCCACCTTCTGATTCTCGTGTCATGGTCAGGGACGCAGCCTACACAGGGTTGGCACTCTGCCCCAGGAGCCCGCGGTGCCTCGCTGCACATTCCCACCGCAGGCTGTCTCGGCTGCAGTGGCTCATTCGGTCCACATCCAGGGAGAACAGAGAGCTCTGTGGGACTGCCTTTATCCTCGGGAACCAGCGGGTAAGACAGACATCCCAGCTCCCCGGCTTCCGGAAGCTCAGTCCAGTCACTTTCCTCATGGTTTGTTAAGTGGTCCCAGCAGCTGAGCACAGGGGCGTGTGGCTGTAGTCCCAGCCACGTGGGAGGCTGAGGCCTAACAACTTCTTGAACCTGGAGGTCAGGGTCAGCCTGGGCAAGATTCTGTTTCTTAAAGAACGATAATTAAAATTTAAACAGTCCTCACCAAGATTGAACCGCAGCTGTGCACAGCAGTAAAAACACCCTCTTCCCTTCCTCACTCCCTCTCTCTTGCTTCCTGGGAATACTTTCAAAATAAATTACCACCTACCATCCTTGGCCCTGGGTCCCTTTTAGGATAATCCAGGTTACTGGCACTCTTGTCTTCTCTGGTGTTTAATTCTGATACCGTTTCCTACCCGACCATTTATGTTTGTCAGCATATCAGCTTCCTGTTTTCATTCATCTGTTTCTTTCTATAAATGGCGCCACAAATCTCAGTAAGCCCCCAACCAGCAGATTCATTAGTCTTCTAGAGTAATGGGATTAGTATTCTCCAGTAAGGAGGTAGGTGAAAGTCTACTATTGGCTGGGAAAACGTCTGTCCTGGGTGGGCAAAACCCCTCGCTGAGTAAGAGAGGCTGTTACCTGAGATTTTCAGGCATTGGCTTCTCAGCAGAGGAACCAGTTGGTGCTACTCAATGTCCTTGACTGGGTCCCCAGAAATCCAGGTACCCGGTGTCTCGGAAACAAAGCTGTCAAGGAGGCCAGAGTGTAGCCACAGCCTGGAGCTAGAAACACTGGTGGAATGAGATCCATTGTCCACTTGGTGCCAGAGAGGATGGTGATCATCTCTGTGTGTGGCGGCCCCGCAGAAGCAGTGTCCAGGGTGGAAGCGGCAGCTGCCCCTGCCTGGCTGCTCCATCACCCGTCAGCAGGTTGTGATATCAGGAAACAGCTCTGGTGCTGGGATGAGGTGCCTTGCTGCAAACTGAGGCTTCCAGAACATTACTGGGAAGAAGATGAGTAACCTAATAGCACCAAACTCAGAATGCTGGATCCCCAAGGGGATGGGAGCACTGGGCACAGTATGAGTTGGTCAGTTAATGTCTTTCAGGAAGTCTCTGTCTGTGAATTAGAATGATAGCCCTGGCCCACTTACTGCATGGCGCTAATACTGTCAAATGCAATGTTGGAAAGAACTCATTGCATAAAAGTTCTACAGTGCAAAAGCAATGGGAAATATTACCTGTGCCCTATTCATTGTTGCTATCTCATTGTCTTTTCAGACTTGAACATGTAAAGTGGAAGAATTCACTTCATGTGTCTACTTGTCGCTTTCAGTCTGTGGATATTGATGACCACTCCTTAACTGTAGAAGGGTGGGGAGCATAGCAGCCAGTATGAGTGCCCTCTGCTAAAGTAACACCTGCTGCTCTCATATCAACCCAGCTGTTTTCCTTGTTTTACAGGAAGGCTGAAATTACAATGAATGTGGGCGATACTCGTATTCTTTCTAGTGCTGTTCTTTCTGCCACAGATAAAGACTCACCTAGGGAGAAGATTTATTATGTATTTGAAAGGCTTCCCCAAAATGGGCAACTTCAGCTTAAGGTTAGTGGCCCTTTTCCCTTTGTATTTCAAAACGAATGTAGCAGGCATACATTTTCTGAATACATACATTCATATAATTGTACTTATTCCCGGGTAGCCATATTTTGCTCAGAAGTAGAAAATTTAATTTTCCTACTATACCACAGTGAACTCATGCTCTTTTAAATCTTCTTAATATACTAAGAGTCAATTCAACCAATATTAAGATTCTTCATTGCTCCCTTCCTGGATTATCCCTAAATTCTGAGGGAGGGAGTTACCAGGGTAAAGCAAGTTATCTGGTTCTGAGGAGAATCTGGTGTCTTTTAAGATGCCTTCATTCCCACCATTTTGAGTGTGGGGGATACGGATACGATCCATGTAACTTTCCTCTTTAGCATGCATTATCTTAGTCATAGAACTCCTGGTCCAAGAAATCACCCCCCACACACACACACACCTTCATTAGGTAAGGAACCATTCTCAAGAATAAGAAAAATTGATTATTCTTTCATGACAGTCAGGCCTAGGAAAATTTGAAGCTCCTTCTGCCCCAGTTACATTACAACAAATAATGTTTCTGTCCTTGTGATGCTGTGGGACCTGAGGGCAGAGGCCCCTCTTTGTTGAAACTCCAGACCTTGTCCTGCCTGCTCGGTGACCCGCAGCAGGGAGCAGCTGTACAGATTCCCTGATTCCTTCCCGCTGCTCCTCTTGCTCCCTGAGCAGGGAAAGCCTGTGCTCTTGTCTGGGGGCAGAGCTTGCACTGCAGACAGCTTGCACTGCAGACAGCAAGTGCACTGAATTGATCTGCATTTTGTTCTGGGTGAATTTAAGAGCTGAAAGGTTGGTGTCTTTGTCCTGCAGCCCCACAGCCTTTGCTGCTCTAGGGTCTTCAGGCTGAGGTTGGTGTGTGCAAAGCATGGAACCAAAAGGCACATTTGGGGCAATTTCACATGGGGGTCCTCCCGCCCCACTAAAGTCTGTCCAGTGTTGAGAGCCATTGTATTTGAATCCAGTAAAATGCAACAGTACATGGTGAAGAAACACTCCTAGAAGTGACTCACTTTCTTGGAAAGCAAGAAAGCAGGAAAACTGCAGGGGAGGGCAGAGGTCGGGCTGCATGGCTCTGTGCTGCCTTCCAGCTGCTGGTCAGACCTCCTTTTTCAGTAGAATCCTAGAAGAGCAAGATCTCAGCCTGACTCAGGCTGTGCACATAATGCCCAAGGGTTAGCCCAGTCCAGACTACAGATCAGTCACTTGGAAAGGTCCGCTGAGGAATCAGTGTTCACCCAGTGGAGGATCAGGACCAGCGACGTGGACCAGCCGTCCCTGATGTGATTGCTTCACTGCACACTTAGCTCTTAGCGGAACGAACGTAGGCACAGCCCTAGCAAGGCAGCACAGATTCATTCTGTGTGGAACAGCAGCTTGATTGTCTTAGATTGGAGGCACCATAGAGAATCAGAGTGAAGAGCAATCACTGATTTAAATTGAGGTACAGCTGTGTCCTTATTTCGTTTCAAAGAGTAATGAAGCAGAAATGCAGGGAAGGCTCACACATTTGGGCAGCTTGGGGACTGAGCTGTTTTGGATTTGTGAAAATCCAGATGGGCCTGCGTGCCCACTGGGGCTCCACAGCAGTCCCTGCACCTCCCATGTGGCCCGAGGCCGTCTCAGATGGGGACTGGGAGTCCAGCCTCCTGGATTCTGTTCCTTCTCGGCTTTCCTTCGTTTTCTCATTTTGAGTCTTGCTTCCATTTTCTTCCTCAGTTGATCATGTCAAGTCAAGCTCACATCTGGAGATAGAAGTGAGGAATTAGATGGAGATAAGAGACAGCAGGCGGTGTCTTCTGTATTTATTGCAAAGAGGAAAAATTAAAATGGAAGGCTCTCTGGTTTAAAACCTGAAGGCGACTGTTTGAAAAATTGTATTGGTAAAATGGGTCTCATGATATAAACAAATGCTGAACTTCACCACAACAATGCAGTTAACTTTTGCCCACTAAATTCTGGGGCAGAACATACGTCTGATCTGTGAATACTCGGGCAAAAACGTTAAAGCGGTAGGAGCTCCGTGAAGGAGAATGACATAAGTGGTAACGCATTCGGAGGGAGGAACACAAGCTCTGTGCCAGAAAGCGGGGCTGTGCAGCATGAGGTGCCACGGGGAAATGAGATGAGCCATTGAAGTCTCCGTTTCAGTCTTGAGAACCACACAGGAGAAGCACAGGATGATTTCCCATTGCAAATGTTTTAATTGAGATTTTCCTTGAATTATATCAAATAACTTTTTATGAGATATTTTTAGAAAAAACTGTGTCTCTTAAGACAATAGCAATGGGATTATTAAGATAAAATGTATTAATTCACCTATCATATTCTCAGTTGTTAGCTAACCCCCTATACAAGAAGTGCTTTTAACTGAAAATACCACAAGTTTTGTTTTGCACTAAGTTATGAGGAGAATATATTCCTGAGTAGTGCTGGTGTATTTTTAGGAGATGTGGATAAAATAGCGAATAATATTTGAAACATATTTTTGCTGACTTAGGATATAAATAAATGTAGGGAGTGACAGGGATCCTGATCATTTTCTTTAGGTTTTAGTAAGGCTAGAAAATGAAAAAGGGAATAAATGCAATCATTCTACTTTTTCTTATCAGTGAATCCTAGCAATAAACCACCTGGAAAAAATAGGTTTGATTAGTTGTACAATAATATGAACTAAAAAAAAAAGCTCCAGAAGAAACACATTTAATTTCTAAAGAACCCATTCCAGCATCTCAATTACCCACCTGCTCTCATTATTTGGAATATTTAATCAGCTGTGATTGCTTATGATAAATACCTTGGAGGTACCGATGCTGTTGAATTGCCACATGACTTTGTCAAAAACCCTTTGGTTGAAGCTAGTTTTCTCCCAAGGTCTTAAATTATTTTAATATACTTCCTTGAAAAGAAAAAAAATAAGACAATGTGGTAAAAACTCGTTTGGGATTTCCCTGAAATATCTGTTGGAGGTTTCTAGGGGCCAAGTGAAGTGTCCACTGAGCTGGCTGGAGGAGCAAACCAAGGGCAGCTGACTGATTCCGGCCCCTTTCAGACAGGAAGGGACTGGGCGCCGCTCTCTCTGGGCATGAGGTGCACGCAGGGGGAAGTGGACCTGAACCTGCTGAGATACGCACACACCGGGGCCCAGGACGCCCGCAGCCGAGACAGCTTCACCTTCTACCTCTGGGACGGCGACAACACATCGCCCGCGTTTGACTGTCACATCGTCATCGAGGGCGTGGGGAGAGGGAAAGGTATGCTGGCGGCTTTTGCTGGGATCCACTTTTATAACCAGAAACAAGCTGGTCTCAGCATTCCACATGCGTTTCTTTATTTCTCCCTCCCTCATTTCCTTTCTTCCTCCCATCCTTCACCCTGACTATGACTCCACCTTTTTCCCTTCTTGTGGGTCCCCAAAAGCAGCCAATCGCGTTCCCTGTTACTTAGCCGGTGTGGCCTGCAGGTCGGCAGCCCAGGCTACTTTCCTGGCGAGGGGTTTTGATTTAGGTAAATGTTTACCGAATCGGTGTGATGACTGTAATTTTATCTCCAAGAGGTGAATTGTCATCGGAAAATAGAGTTTTCAAGAAAAAGTATTTCCAATATAATATGAAAGGAAGTGGAATAAATATATTTTAAATTTTAAAAAATAACAAAAAGGAACTTCGTCATTGAAAAGTTGGAATCTGTTAATCTTTTCACTGTGAAAATGCTAGCGCACACTGTAGGGACAAGGAAAAACGCTATAAAATAGTAGGTTTCTCTTGACTTAATTAGGCAGCTTATTTGCATAGTATGATCCAATAGATTGTAAGTGGTGGGTGGAGAAAAGTTAAAAAAAGTTCAACAAAGGAGATTCACACATGCATTGGTGCTCAACTCTTACTACCTGTAATTTTGCTTACTGTGTGTGAGGAGAGCAAGAAACTCACCTCGTTCATCTACATGGTCCTAGGATCTAAGCATTCCTGAATGAAGCATTGTCTTAGATTTTTAGTACCCGATTCATTGACTGAATGCGTTCTTATTTTGCCTTATTTGTTAGGAAGCTCAGAGTTAAGTTGAATTTTAAGTGCAATAAAAGTCTTGCTTTATGTGATAGAATTAAAATTTTCCAGAATTTAAAAAAAATTCGAATTGGTTGATCTTGTGATGTTTATTTTTGACTATATACTTTATGTGCTTGTTTTCTGGTATAAAATGTGTTCCTCAAAGATGTCAAGTAAGTGACTTTCAAATAAGCTAGGTATTTCTGAACACATTTTATTTCTCTCTGGAAAATTTATGCTCATTTATGTGTATATCCAAGCAAAATGTTCACAAGTGTTGCAGGTGATATTAGGAGAGGCAGCTGTTCCGTCAGGGTAGGCGCTCCGCATGGCTCAGCACAGTGAAGTTTCACGGCCATGGATTTCACAGTCACCTGGGGCCTGTCCCAGACTGGACTTTCCCTGTCTTGGAAAGTCTTCGAGTCGCTCGGAAATTGAGACGTGAAGCAGAGTTTCAGAGCAGGGTTCCACCAGTTGGGTTTGGAAGCTGTTTGCCTCTCTCCAGCGTGTTCCACTGCCCGAATCGCAAGGAAGCTGGGCGATAGAAACTATAGCCGTGCGCCCGGAAAGCAAGGCTTAAATAAGGCGGGCAAGTGCCTCAACAGGAACTACACAATTGACATGTGGTGATTGTTTTCTAAAAGGTTTTATGAAAACCGATGCCAAGTAGCTACATCGATCTATTACTATTCTCAGAAGTTTAGAATCGGCCTGCCCCGCTTCCTTCCTGCCTGCCTGCCTTTCTGCATGATCATCTGTTGTATGCTATTTTCCTGCTGTTCTTTTTTAAACTTACCATGAGTTTTCTTAAGTTGCATAAGTTTATAACTCTGTAGGCCCAGAGATTCAGCTCAGTGGTGCCATGCCTGCCTCACAGGTTCAATGTCCTGTGTTCGATCCCTGGTACGAAATAACAAAACAAAACAAAAAAGGAAAACTCTCTATCTCCAAGTAAAGCTATGTTATGTAGTTAGATTTGAATTATAACCTTAATATTGAGCATTTGGTTATTCCCTCTGGGAACTTTTATAAATAACTTTTAAGTCTTCCACTTTCTTTGGAGAGATGCTTCGGCGGGTGTGGTGAGGGTGACCTTAACCCAAACCCTGTCTTTATGCTGCAAGACGTTGCCCAGGGCTTGAGCCGGTGCCCCCCCTTCTGGTAGATCCGTCACTCTGCTCCCAGCACAAGCTCTTGTCAGGGTTTCTCACCTCCCCAGCCTCGTTCATTTGTATTATTTCCTTGATGTGTTCATCTCAGTCTCTGTGTACCGCTGAGGCTCAGCTTTTAATTTAAACTGAGGATGGTCTTTGATGCACTTGTGATAAAGGTCTGATTTGGCCATCTAAACAGGGCTCCTGGCCTTGGCAGTGCTGGCATGTTGGAGTGGATGATTCGGGCTGTAAGGGACTCCCTGTGTGTTGTATCTGTGCCCCTACCCACCAGAAACCGATAGCAAAGCCTCATCATGACAGACGTATGGGGCAGGGGGTGGCAAAACTAAGGCTGGTCTAAAACTGTAGCACCTTGATGGTTATTTCCACGTTTTGTCTTCCCATGAGATCGAGTATCTTCAGTCTTGTTGACCATCTGTTGTTTTTAATCCAGCAACGGCTGGGCATTTACTTCACATAGTTTTCTTTTTGGACATCCAACCATTTGTCATTGAACTCTCACGTAGTAGAAAAAGGGAGCAAAACAGCATACTGCAGTGTTTCAGAGGCTGTGCTCTAAAGAACTTAAGTACAGATTCTGCCTGCCTTTTATTGTGTGGCTGCCAGCAGGTTAGTAGCATTTCTGTATCTCAGTTTCCTCATTTATAATCGGGAATATGATAATGCCCCACTGCCCAGGACTGGGGTGCAGATTAAGAACCCTCAGTCCTGTGCCTCACAGACACAAAGTTGAAACTCTGTATTTAGATACGGTCATTTTTAATAGAGCTTGCGTGAATGAACTCAGTGATCACACTTCATTGGTGAAACTGTGTTATTGGTCCATACCTGACCCATTTCTGCCTTGCTCGTTTATCCGTTTATGCATTTTCTTTAAAATCGTGGTAAAATATGCACACCGTAGAATGTTCTTAGTTTTTTGTAGGTGTGCAGCCGGGTAGTGTTAATTGTATGTATATTGTTGTGCATACAACCTTTTAAGATGTTTCATCTTGCAAAATCAAGACCGTGCACCCGTTAAGGAACAGTTCTCCATGTCCCTGTGCCACAGCCCCTGTAACTGCCTTTGTTTTCTGTTTCTATGAATTGACTCCATCCTAGGCTCCTCGTATAAGTGGCATTGTCCAGTATATGATTTCCATGACTGGTCGGTTTCTCTTAGCGTGTTGCCCTCAAGCTTCCCCTGTGTTGTAGCATGCATGAGAATCCCCTTCCTGTTTTCAGGCTGAGTTGCATTCCATTGCATATGTGCCTGCACATCTTGTCTCTCCACGTATCTGTGGGGAGGCGTTTGGATTGCTTCTACCTTCTAGCTGTTATGAATAGCCCTGCCATGAACATGGCTGTTGAACACACCTTCTTTTTAAAACACAGCGAGCATTTGTGCAACCGCCATGCAGCAGTATTAGCAAAACTGACATCTCCCTGTGTCCTTTTCCCATTCTCCTGGAAAGCTGCCATCCCGAGTGTGGTATCATCGTCTAATTTTTTGTAATTTTCTTGACTTACACAGCTAGCAAGTATTCATACGCTACATCTCTGTTGCTGTGTGGAGCTGTGTCTGTTTCATTTTGCTACTGTATGGAGATCAGTTGTATGGATAGACTCTAGTTTGCTTACGCTTTCCCCTTTTGGAAAGGCACTTGGGCTGTCTCCCGCACAAGCAGTGCCGCAGTGACCACTTTGTATGTGGCTCCTGGGGTTCAAGGACAAGAGTCTTTTTGAGGTACACAGAGGGGTTGAATCACCAAATCATAGTAAATGTGAATATTCAACTCTTCACAAAATAATTCCACGTTGGGTGTCAATCTCCATTTCCTCTACAGTTGCGTGCAGGACTGTCTCGGCCTCCATCCTTCTTAACCCTTGTTAGACTTCTTTATTTTTGCCCATCAAAGAATTATGAGATGGTGACTTATTGTGATCTCATATAGTATTTTCATAATTATTAATGATACTGAGCATGTTTCCTTTTATGTGAAATAGCTGCGCATTTGTTTTGCCTAAACCCTGTATGAGTCGTAGTTCCTGAGCCTTTCTGTGTTGTGTTAGATATGACTCGGACATAGCTGGGCCCTGGTCTTTTACCTTTACCTCGAACATGACCTGTTTTTAAGCACGGTTCTTGACTCTCCCCCTCCTGCCGTGCAGGTGATATTGCCGTTCTCACAAAGCCACTCGTGGTGTCTGAAGGTGGCAGAGGTGTTTTGACAGCCGCCACTCTGCTGGCGGTGGATGGGTCAGACGGGCGTGAGGAGCTGCTGTACTTCGTCACCGCCCCGCCGCAGTATGGCCAGGTGGAACACGTCCACTCGCCTGGCGTCCCCATTGCAAGCTTCAGCCAAGTGGACGTAACAGGACAGAGAGTCTGCTACGCACACAAGAGCAAGGTGGCCGCCCCCAGGGACAGCTTCAGGTGAGCATGGTGGAAACTTCTCTGAACTGTTCTGTGGGTTCAGAACAGCAGGGATGCGCTAACGTGGCCTATCGGAACCACGTTACCGTGTTTGACTGCCAATACCATCATGTTGTGTGCCTTAAATATGTGTACATATTAAAATTTGTGCTTTTAAAAAAAGAAAGGAAAAGCAGTGAGTCCTTTCGCAGCTCTGTTCTAGCTGTGTTTTTCTTCTCCTGCCTAGCTGTGTGAAAGGTGAAGGAAAGCATACCACCGAAATGCCAGCAGCACAGCAAGAGACGAGGAACTGGTGCTGAAAAATAAATTCAGTAAACATATCTAAATGCAAGTCTTTCTGCGAGGAGGAAGGTGGAGTCTGAGGGTACCCAGCTAAGGATACAATAGGAAAGGAATTTCTCTTTACTAAGCAAAAGTCATTTATTAGCAGAATAATTTTGGCATGAGCAGACACTGCCTTTTGACACAAAGTGTTCCTGTAGGCGCTGTATCATAAATCACGTTGTCATGGAGTGGATCACATTTCCCCATAGAAACTGTTATAATTGGGGACTGTGCACCTGTTCAAGGGTTCTGAATCAAATAAATCATTGGGATGAATAGCAGTCTGGTGAAAAGGCAAAGACACAACATTAATGAAAATCTGCATTCACCTAAAATAGGGAAATTTGTTTCAAGACACAGTAAATAGGATGAATGCTAGAAGATCTGTCATTCAGCAGCCCTCAGAGCTAGCCAGGCTTGTGGTCTGTAGTGGAAAGGCAGGTCCTGAGCTGGGGTGGTGAGCCTGGACAATCTGGGGCTAGTCTTTGGAGAACGGCTCGCTGTATGTAATCCAACCCTGAATTTCACCAGTTAAGGAAGAGGCTGTACATCAGGGCTTCCTGGCCTCCGGTACAGTTTTCACTATGGCCAAGATAACCTTCCACAGGACACTATAAATGACATAATGCCACAAACTCCATGCTGCTCAGTGGGTTCTCATAAACTATCAAGTATTACTAATGTCTGATGTTTAAACACCACTGCTTTCTATCATTCATGGGTGAACCTGTCTTCACAAACTTAATTGTCCCATGATTCTGGGAAAGATGGCCACGTTCATATTTAGGCAGGAAAGATGGCCCATTGTGTTCATCACCCCATGCAGAGTTTGCAAACAAAAACAAATCAAATTGTCCGAAAACAAAAATGTTTGTGAACTGAGGTACCACTGTACTTACCTAATTTCAGTATATCTGTTGTAATAGACACTGTCCAAATGACAGTAAAGATTATTTTACTTGCCTTTTGAGAATTTAAAGTGATTTCTGAAAGATGATATGTATATATAGTCCAACCAAAAAAAAAAAAATCCAGGAAAACTTGAAATAATCTTTTTTTTTTTTTTTTTTTTTTTTTTTTCTTTTTTTTGCTAGGGATTGAACCCAGTGCCTTCACACTGAGCTACATCACCAGCCCTTTTAAAAAATTTTTAGTTTGAGAGTCTCACTTAGTTGCCTGAGCTGGGTTTGAATTTGTGATACTCCTATCTCAGCAGGGATTTCCTGCCACCACACCAGCTCAGTGTCTTCTTTATTTTTCCTCTCTTGATAAATGTCCTTTACCAAGCCGATCTTTGTTTAACTGATTGATGTCTTAACCGAGTCACACTTGGTTAAGGTTGCTGGGCACTAACTGAAACCTTAGAGGTGGATGTGGTCCTCCCTGAGCTGCTTCTCGGTTGGGGTTGGGGAGGTGGGAGTGTGGTGGTTAAAAGCAGGCTCGGGTCTCGTGCTGCCTCTGACTTAGCTCTCCTTGCCGTCCTCAGGTCCTGCAGTCTCCCGGGACTTTGTCCCTGCTGGGATGGGTGGTGCTCACTGCACCTGCCAGCCGGGGTTGGGGGGAGGTTTAAGCATCTGCATGGGCAGTGCAGGAAACAACACCTGGCACGGGTGTAGAACTGAGAAGCGTCAGTTGCTGGGCTTATTATTCTCACCATCATTGTCATATTCTTTCCTTGACTGCTTTCTGACCTCCATCTCTGCAACTCCTTGCAGTCTTCAAGGAGGAAAAAAGTTAGGAGAGGAGCAGTGCTTGTTCTTTTCCTCCTGTTTGCGAGTGGAAGCGGGATGCTTCTTGGCTGAACCCGTGCATACCAGGCCCAGAGCTTTTGATTTTATACCGGTTTCTGGAAGTTCTTGCTCCTCCCATTCCCGCTTCCCCTGGTCAGTGTGGTGGGAGAGTCTGCTGGAGACATCAATGGCTATGCCGGAGAGACCAGTGCCCCTTCTGGAGAAGCCAGTGAGTGCATGTGCACAAATGCTCAGAAGTGAAGGCTAGGAACTAATCCGATGGTGAGAGTGCAGAGCAAAATCTCCATTTGTAAGGACTGGCGGTGCTGAAACCTTTCCTAACTTTCCTCTACAGGAGGTCATGTTAGAGAGTATTTTAGAAATTATTTATCCCAAGAATTTGTACATTTCAAAATCCTCAGAATTACCTGGAAGAATCACAAAATACCAGTTTTTGGACTTAGCCCAGGCAACTTCAGTAAGTCCAGTCTCGGGCCTAGGAGTCCACATTTGCAGGGCTTTCAGGCAGTTCTGGTGCGTTGCTGGGCTGGCCTAGCGGGTGCTCAGAATGTGCCCAGAGGAGCCTGGGGATCTGCAGACAGGATCCGTGGGTGCTCCGGAGACAGGCGGGAGGCCAACCTGACGGGGCTCCGAGGCCATCACCTCAGTTTACCCATTGGCTTTCTTTTGTTTCCACACTTTGCCTTCCAGCTCCTGTTGCCCAGTAGACATCAGAGCATGGTTTTCTCTTAGCAAATAGACTGCGGCTCTGTTTCCTAAGCCAGTGATTTGTACCCCGTGCTACGCAAAGCTGCAGAATGACATGGGCAGGATGGAACAGGCAACGAGTCGGAAGCAGGGAATCACCCATGAGAAACTACTGCAGTAGGAGGGCTCCTTCCTCCGGAGTGTTTCAGGCGAAGTCTCAGGTCGGCGTGTTTGTCTTCGTCAGGGCTTTGTATTCATTTCCCCCGGTTCACGAAGAGAGCACAGGTCTCTGGCTTGGAGTGAGCAACAGTATCTAGCAAAAATTAAAAATGCTGTGTTCTTGTATTTATTTTTGTAGTCTCGATGGAATCAAGTTCTTAGTAGTTATGAGGTTTCCCTTTAAATACATTTATTTAAGTGAAAAAGTAAATTGATACCAAGCAAAATTAGTGAACATCGAGAGCCTCAGTAGTCCAAGCATGTGGCCAATGTGAAGTGGCCTTTGCATGACCGACAGGTAGGAAGCAGGGCTACAGAGAGCAACGGACAAAGGCCAGAAGGCATCGGTCGGTCCAGGCCCTTCACCTGCGTGCTGGAACGTTAGCATCACTGGAGCATCTGCAGCACATCAGGCTGTGCAGCACACCCTTCTTTTGAACTGTATTATTTCTCATAGTCTTACTCCATCACCGAGAGAGAGAGAGAGAGAGAGAGAGAGAGAGAGAGAGAGAGAGAGAGAGGGATGAGGTTATTACCATTTTTTGCACAAGAAACCAAAGTTCCAGGAGGCAAAAGAAGTCACTGAATTGATGTAACCAAGTATCAGAGCTGAGGTTGCGGCTGAGAGCTCACTTCTGTGGAGAGTTCTTTCCATGGTACCGCCTTGTGTGAAAGATTTGCGGAGACTGCGTTTGTGCAAAGGAACCTCGTCACTGAATCGTTTTGAGTTTTGGCCAGCACTTTTACATATTTATAGTGAAAGTGCCTTGCATCTGCCTCAGACCTGCCTTTTAATCTTGGCCTCTCACCCGATCATGGGCTGCCGTGTTGTTTGTCAAGTGTCGCAAAACCAAAGCTGAAAGCCTGTTTTAATGAAAGTGTGATCATGGTGCTTTTTAAAAATTAAATATATGCAACCAATCTAATCACCTAAATTTATGCTACTCGCTGTTAAATTTGGCAAGAAATTTGGCAGGGTAGAAGAGAGATAAATTCTGTGGCAGAGGATTTTTCTCCCTTTTTGCTGTACGATGTGGCAGCATTAATTAAATGGGGGAGTTTAATGGTCAGATTTTACCTTGTGCAAAAATATTTTGTGAATCATAAATTTCTCCCACATTGTGTGGTGCTGCTGGCCTGGAAGAGAGATTTGGCAGCCAGTTCTAGGACAGATGACACCAAGTGATTAGCAATCTGACTTCAGCGGCTGGCAGCCGGGCACTAAAAGAACATGCTAATGTCCTCCATTTTGACATGCCGGCTGGACTTTTTTTTTTTCCTGAGGAGCTGGCGCTATTTATGATTCCATTTTTATCTTTTAAATGCCATGACAGATGGCACATTCTTCAGCCAACTCCATTGCCAGGAAATGCAGAAAGCTTGAAAGCACCATGGTAATGGTGAAATGAGACCAGGCAGACACCCCCACAAACCCGAGAATCATTCCCTGGGTTTCGGGAGGGTGGTGCTCCTGTTGGCTACATTCTTTCTCCGGTGGTGCAGAAGGGGATATTAAACAGAGTGGACGGGCAGAAGGCGCTGTTACCCCCATCCTGCCAGCTTCCTTACCACAGTATGGATACCAGCACAGCCATAGCACTGTTTCTTTAACCCTTGAGAATATGTACTTACAGGAATTTGGTGACGAGGGCAGCACTTGGAAAAGCATCTGGTCGACTTTTGCAGACATGAGCAACACTGACCTTATTTCACTTGTTTTGCTAGCTTTATTTCAACTGGGAACCCAACCATAACCATCACTCTGACTCTCTCTGACAAGGACTCTGCCTGTGAGTAGTTTGCATTGTGACGCATGAAAATGGAATGATGTATTCGATCCAGTCATGTCTGGAAATTGCATCCTTTCCACCCCTGGGTTATTAGCTTTAGGTCAGTGCAGACAGCTGCCTTGGTGTCCCAGCTGGGAGCGCTTCCCTCAGACAACATCTTTCTTACTCTTCTGTGGTCCCGCCCTGCTTGCCCTTGTTCCCATCTGTCTGATGGCAGGCTGCCTATTTCCAGCATGGCCAGATCTCACTCATCGGGCAGGGACGAGTTTGAGATGGACAGCCGGGACCATGAGACAGCCTCAGTGTTCCTGAGGCTGAGCTTTGAGGGTCCTATCCTTCAGGGAACTTTCAGAATTGAGTCTCCAGAGAAGAAAGTCAGTCAGATATTCAAAATGGCCACCTGGTGTGGAGCACGTCGCTCACTTGAGCTCACCTTGAGCCTTGCTTCCCCTCCCCCAGTCCTCGTGTCTCCCCTTCTTTTCCAATTTTTTTCCTTCCTTTTTTTTTTTTTTTTTTTTTTTTTTTTTTTTACTCCTTTTTTTTTTTTTTTTTTTTTTGCTGATCTTTGATAGGTTTTCATTGGGGCACAGAGTCTTTCACTCCACAATTAATGCTCATACTAAAAGTTCATGCCCTTTCACATACACTGGTGCTGAACGATCAATAACTGATTTAAAACGCCCGTTAAGAGCACATCGTTATAGGCATTGGGTAAGGAACAGAGAGCTGCTCTGTGGGAAGCAGAGTGGAATGGGAGGTGCAAAACATTTCAGGAGGAGAAAAGTGGAAAAAAAAAAACTTGGAAGGACTAAAAGAAAGCCTAGCCTTCTTATTTGGTCCTGGGTCAAATAATAGGATCTAGGGGAAGGGAAGAATACAAAAAAGTAACAGGAAAAAGCAGAATTTTAGTGTAGTTCCATGAAAAGCTTTGCCTGAGAAACAATGTAATTTTCATATCTAAGACTTCATGTCCCTCAACCTTTGAAATTGTCAAGGTGACTAAAGTAAAAAGTGTGAAGAACATACAGTTGTTTTTCTAAGTGCTTTTTGTCTTTTCTTTTTAAAGTAATAGAATTTTATTTTTTCCAAATGTACAGCTGTTGAACCTGTTCATCATGCTTCTTCAGCAGCAGCAGGGGCATCTCCACCCTTGGTGTTTCTGGTGTAAATAAGTTGAGCTCTGTGCTTTGAAATCAACTTGCTAAGACCTTTACTAAGGAGCTCCTGAATATCTTCAGTCTCTCAGACACAACAGCAGGTGTTATACGCTTATAGTTGGGAACTTCCTTACAGAGTTTGTCGTAAGCTTCATCAAACAAAACCAGGTTGTTGAGCTTGTCCCGGACTTTGCCTTTGGACCACTTCTTCTTTTTTGCCTTGCCCCCAGATTTGTTCACTGGGTCTTTGTCTTTCTTGGCTGACTTTCCCGCATCTTTCTTCTTCTTGTCTTACTTGGGCAGCGTCTCGAAGCTCGGAGAGCACCTGAGACCACTGCAGTCTCGTCAAGATGTCGGACCTTGTCTTTTTAATAAAAAATCGAATTTCATTAGCACATCACCCTGCAGCAGTGAAAGTGCTCAATTTTCTTTGAATATATTAATCAAAAGTTTTTCTTTACCAAAAGAAAACGGATTCATTTGTTTGAGGAAACTGCTACTTTTGCTTATGTACATTTCTGAAGGTAATTCAGGACTTTATTCAACTGTACAAAGTGATGCTGTAGAAAATGAAAAAGGATACATTATCTATAAGACTAGGTGTGTAAAAATGCCAAATTTTTATTTTTTATATTTCCCTCAGCAATTTTAACTCCAGGAGGCATGGATTCCTATCATGTGTCATTCCTATCATTTCTATGTATCATATCATATTTTCCTTGAAGGTAGTCTTCGTAAGCAGGTGATCAGAAAGCATGAAACTTTAGTTTGCCTTCAAAGCCACGTCTGTACTCCGTCAGTCTCTTCTCTCTCTCGGTTGTGTCTGCTCGTTCTTCTCCTGACTCTACCCCAAGGCACGGTCAGTGACTGTACACCCTGGACCCGATTTCAGGTTCCGTCGTGGTCCAGAGTAAAGAAAGCATCAACACTTAAACCCTGAAGGATAAAACATAGTTTGGCAAAAAATAGGGAATTTAAGGAATTTCTTAGTCCCATCTGCCAGACCACTAAAGTAAGTGTAAACCCCATGCCTTCTGTGGTTAGCAGAAAGGACCTTCAAAGAAGAAATTTAAATAATGTAATACTATATTCCACAAAAACACGATTTCTAGGAATTCTTACCAATATGGAATATAAGAGTGTGTCCTTCCTAGGTAAATGAGGACCGCAATGTATAATGGGTATTGTGTAGCAGGAGGAAAATGGGAAGGGGAACAAAGGGAGAGGTCAGGGGAAGGAAGGAAGGGGAAAAGAAAGAAGAAGAGAAGAAAAATATGGAAACAGCTTTTGTAAATTAGGAGGGAGGAGGGGTAGAAGGGAGGGTAGGGTAATGGGAAAATAGAAGAATGAAGATATATCATGGGGCTGGGGATGTAGCTCAGTGCCACCACACCTGCCTCGGAAGCACAAGGTTGTGAGTGGGATCCCCAGTA